AGAGATTAGTAACATAGTATCATTAATAGGATCAAAATCAGATCTTTTAGTGTACTGAAACCTATGTTTGTATACAGGGAAAAAACTCCAAAACTTTCAAGTGTCTACCAGCATGTAAAATTACCTGTCAGTGTAACATATGTATTTTGTTGAGATATAGTAGGTGCACGTGAAATCTGCCACAAAACTTGTGGGTTTTAGGATGTTTAACTTTTCATCCCTCTCTACAGATGGATATGTAGCTGTTTCAGGTTTGTAATATATAATATATATATTGTGTAATAACAGAAGTATGAAAGTTCTGTGAAACTCTCAACAATGTATTTTTAAAAAATATACATTTGTTCTTCATTAAAGTTTAAGGGAATTCCTAGACTTCTGTTAATGATCCCAGTATTTTGCAGTGTTTGAAAATTAGATTTTAAGCCAGAATAGGGGCTTATTTTAGTTCCCTAAATCGAATAACCTTTACATTTTCAAAACTCTTTAGAGTGGTATTAGCTACTCAGATTCCATATTTAAAAAAAAAAAAAAAACAAAACACACACACAAGAAAAAAGCTGCTACTGACTTGAACGTGCCCTGAATTATTCAAAGCTAAAAGATTGAAAGAAAATACTTTTTCTCATATTTATCATCTTTACAGAATAAGTATCTTTTTAAGATCAGATGTGAACAACTCTGTAATACTGCATCGAAATTGTAGGAGCTGTCTTCTTAGTTGGTTCAGATCAACACAAAGTTCTTACTTTAATAACAAAATGGCAGGTAGAGAAGATTATTTTTTTTTTTTTCTTTTCTGTTTTGTCTAAACTCATTTTGTGAGTTTCTTGGACCATTTTTCATCAGAACCAAGGTTGAGAGGAAATGATGTGTTGGTATATTAAAGTATAATGCATGCTTATACATTTTAATTTTAGAGGTTCATGTTGTTCACAGAAAATGTAGGGGGTTTTTCTATTCAGAATAAAAGTGCTGACAAAGGGTTGAGTAGTCAGACATTAAGTAATCTCAGACCTCTCAGGAGTCTATGTGAATACTGAATGTTATTAGTTTGGGCATGTGGAAATCTCAAACCTGCAAATTTCTTCTTGGACTAGTGACACTTGGGAGAGAGGTTGGTTTGGTTTTGTTTGTACAAGAGCACAGTGCTTTATGAAATCCATCTGCTGGATCAGCACAAATTTCAGGCTCTGGATCTGTAGACATATTGCCAAGAAATGCAACCTGTGTTGCTGAAATATTCCCTTTCATGCAAGTGGATATGGGTTTATTAGTCCAGCAGCTCTTTTGAAGAGGATCAGTCAGATCAATTGAAAAATATCTGTATAAAATTAGAAAGGCACTTGCAGGTATATAAATCTCATGTTTTGGTGTGTTTTCCTTAACCCTTTCACTCCTAATTAATAAAGTAAAGGACTAATGAGATTTTTTGTGATTTTAGTACCTCAGCACATTCTGGTTGTTGGTTCATAGTTAACATGGGCAATTCAGGAATCATTATGAAGTAATTCTTGGATATGAGATGCAGGAATGTCTCAGCTTTCCTCCCAGGGCTTTGCAGGAATTCCTGGATGAACATGAGGCACTAAAAATTCATAGTGTAGCCACAGTCCTGTTTGTACAGATACAAATGGGGGTGCTGCTGCTCCTACTTGCCTATTAAAAACCAAATTTGTCTGTTTTTCTGCAGTGTGACAAGGGAAACCAGAGGACATCTGATACTCTTCTAGTCTGAACATTTGGCCAAGTAACTGCCAAAATGTCAAATCCTATTCAGGCATGTTCTGCAGGAATATGGCATTTTTGGGTGTTTGTGTTAGTGCATTGTAAATGTTAACAAAAATAATCATGATGAGCCATTGAAATTTCTTGTACACAAGCAAAAAAAAGTCAGAATAATGCAAGTAACTATAATACTTTTAAAGAATTTTAAATGTCATTTTTAATATTAGCAAGGTCTTTAAAAAAAAATTAAAACAAGTATCTCTTTACACTGCACTGTGTCCCTTTAAATTCTGAGCCTCTCTGCTGGGGTACTGCTCCTTCTCCTTCTAAACATGGTGCTGCCTTCATCGTGCTTCATCTCACTGTGCCACCTCTGACCATTAATGCAAATTGGAGGCCAGATAAGAGTTGCTCTGGATTTAAATTGGTGCAAATCACAGCAGAATCTGTCTCCAGTTCATATTAATGACTGCAAGTGGGAGAAGCTGCCTGAACAGAGAGGAAGCTCTAATGAGACCATGTTCCTTCACCCGTAGCCATATCTCTGCCACCTAATCTCTTTTCTGGACTGTCGAATCAAGCTCATTTAATTGTATTTTCAGTTAAAGTCTGCAAAGTGCAAATATGGGAATAAACAAGGAATCGTGTTTGCATGTTCGAGTGTCTTTCTCTTTAAATTCAGTGCTTATATTTTTCTTGGTAATTGCACTGGAATTGTTCTGTGCACGCATGGTTGCTCCAAGGGGTGGGGGAAGGATTTTTAGTCCTGCTTCTTGGAGCACCTGGGGCATTGCAAGAGCCCACAGTCACTTGGGCCTTTTCCTCTGGAGGAAGTTCAAATAAAAACCAAGAGAATATTTGTTTGTCCGTGGCTGCTGTTAATAGCAGAGTGAGATTTCTGTGCTAAGGCGCTGTCTGTCAGCAAAGCAAACACAGCATGTTGTGATGTTTGTGTGCCTGACTAAGGGCAGTATTTATTTCATCCTTGGAGAGCTTGCATGGAGGACAGAATTCCCACTGTGTCAGAAAGGATCTGCAGCAGATACCCTAAACTCCCTTCTTTGATAAAGTACCTTTTGTCAGCAAGTGTGTATGTTGAAAATTAGCAGTTCCTTCAGCACAAAAACCTTGACATTGAATATAATTGAGGAGGTTAGTGTCGGCGTGTTCCTAAGTATTACCTGTCATTTGAAATATGACAGTGCTGTAACTGCAGGACCTTGGGGACTTCACTGCTCTGGCACTGCCATCTGACTGCCTTGGAGTCTGTGAGACAGCTTCCGAGCACTTCGACCCTGAGATAATTAACATGGCCCTGGAGGCTTCTGCCTTTTGCTTTTCTGCACTTGTTGTTTAATAAGATGTTTGTTGCTCTGCTTGTCTTTGATGCAGTGGTGTGCCATTAGGGACACAAGGTCCTTCACATGCTGTCTCGGTTAGTGGGTTTAGGTAATGCTGTCTGGGCAGCCATTCCTTTCAATTCCAGCAAATTAAAATATTATCATCAATTAGCCAGCTATGCCGGGTGGCTCACTCTGTTTCTGAGGGGATGCACGTATTTGTGGTGTGTGAAAGCAAGGTGACAGGGAGGGAGAATATTATACAACTCAATTGCCAGGGAAATAGGTTTAAAGCAATGTCAAATGCTAAAATGATCTCATAGGATGCAGAGATGAAAGAGAGCACACAGCTCTTCAGGGGAGGGAGAGGTTGTTGCTGTCTGGGAGGTGCAGCCTTGGGGTGGAAGGTTATCAGCTGTCTGTGCTCAGAGAGACAGTTGTTTTAATCACTTGCATTAATCAAGATCACGATGGTTTAGTCCATAAAGTCTTTTTGGTATTTTACTGAAAGCAAAACATGCTTTTAAGGAGAAAAGAGAGAAAACAAAAACCTGAAAAGTTTGGAGCGTCTTTGTGTAGAAGAGCTGAGCACAACTGGTTTTACTTTTCTACTCTGTGAGACAATGTTTTAAAGGGTTGTGAAAAATTCAGCTGTGTTGCTCCAGAGAGATTCACGCTAATACTTTGACAGCTCCCATGGCTAAGCTGCTTTTTAAATGCTGGTAGAACTCAAAGCAGCATTAAATCTAAATAATCAACTCCAGTGGATGGCATGGTTGAGCCAGGGTGTGCCCACAAAGGGGCATTTTTAACCACAACAGAAGCTTCATGAAGTCATCTTGTTTCTAGGGAATTGCCTGTTTGAACGAGCAAAAAACCTTAAGATAGTCTCCTTCAGGGTGTTTTTTTTTTTTTTTTTTAAACAGTTGTACTCTTTTTTGTGTGTTTATTTCTGAAGGAAACAACAGATGAGCGTAACCTGGAATGTGCAACATCAGAGAGCCATGGTTATAGCATTTAGCTTTTCATTTCATCTTGTAAGAACAAATGGAACTGGAAGGGTATCTCATTACACCCATTTAGCTTGAAATATTCCTAATCTGTCTTGCTCATAGAGAGTATAATTTGTAATTAGAACTGTGAAACAATGCCAGATAGTATTGAACAATGAGTTTGGCTGTTTTAGAAGAATGCTTTGAGGGGAGAAGCTCGGAAAATGCCATCAGATGAAGCTGCAGATATCGAAAAGATTAATTTATACACCACAATCCACCCATAAGGACTCACAGTGCAATAACATCTTTCTAGTTCCTTAGTGTATTATTTCCACTGTCATGCTAATACAGAGTGAAAGAGGGAAATAGAGCAGTTTTCTTCTAATAATCCAGCATTAGTTCAGGAGTTAAAGCCAAGATGACTGAAAGCTACAATATTCTAAAGACTCATTCTCCAGTTCCTTTACATTATGAATATAAATATCTTCTCAGTTATAGACATTAGGCTTTCATTGTATAGCCCACCATTAGGCATAAAGCATATGAGAAAGCTGCCTGTATTAGGCTATTGAAAGAGCACTGATTTACAGCTCTTCTGTAACCTCACTTTGCAAATATTAAGGGTATAGTAAAGGAAAAAGGTCTTGAGAATTCTACATAAATACATTCATCTTTGACTTTCATGTAGGAGTTTGGCTGACATGGACCTTTTTTTTTTTTTTCTCTCTAAAAGACAAGTCCAACATTTGTTGTTGAGTCATAACCTGACAGAAAGATCACAGGACTATTTGAACAATTCCTAGTTGATCCTTTTCTCCCTTAGAAAACCCTGTTATTGGAGGGGAAGAATTCTTTTCTCAGTAATGATGATGAAGTGCAGGATGTTGATCAACTATGGCTTATATTCTACTAATTCTTGCTTGGATTTCAGTCAGCAATGACAGAAGCCCAAGATCAGCAAGAGATGTGGTCTAAAACCTCACTGGAGTGGCTGGGGCTGTTCCTTGGGTCACAGCCAGCAGGGCCTCTCCAGTCACTGCTGCTTTCATTCTGCCTTGGCCTCTACTCTGAGGCTGCAGGATTTTTTATGGGAATCGTGGAGATAAATATTGGAGCATGTCAGAAGGCTTCCAGTGGTGGTAAGAGGCATACTGTACACATAAATATCCTTTTTAACAAAGCCATTTAAATTTTATTTATCAGAAGCCTGTGAAGTTCTGTCAATTTTCCTAGTGAATGGTAGAAAATATGTAGAATTAAGTGAGTAAAATGAACAGTAATAAAGTTAGGGGAGCATGAAATTAAAAAAGTGATTGCAGTAATAAGGTATAAAAGTTTTTCAGGAAAAATAATACCCTTCTGACTTGGTGAAAAAAAGTATTAGTACTACTTATTAAAGAAGAATATATTTAGGTGATCAGTATTACATCAATGAAGTCTTCATAGTTTTTGGTTTTACCTACTCTATTCTATTTGATTATCTCAAATTAATGTACTTTACAACTGCTAATCAATTTGTTCTTCTCATTTTAATGATAGGTAAGTATTACCAGCTTGCTTTCGAAAAAGAAAAAAAGATTGAAGCTGAGGCTTATGAGATAAGTGGAAAGAATCCATTAAAAAAGCTTTAGTTTCAGATTCTTGAAGGTGTGTAGCTCAAAAAAAGGTACAGAGCTCAGTATTTGCTGATACCTTCAAGTAGCATTCAGGTGCTTCAGTTTGCAAGTTTATACAGTGGCAACTGAAACAGCAGCTCATTGCTCCAAGGGAGAGCATGCTACCAAGAATGAAGGAAATAATTATTTCTGCCTTTTTCCCCTTTTGCCCCACAAATTTTCATGTGCTCTTCACAAATTTCTCCAACAAGGGAATAGAAGAGGAGTGACTGTGAAGGAATAGGAGTCAGGAGGAACACTCAGGTTGCACATTGCAATATCATCATTATTCTATTACATGGATTTGGATTTGAATTTTCTTGGGAATGGAGGCTCTGTTAAATTGCTGAGATGATGGACTTAGGGTAAGAGAGAAGTGGACAGACGGGGGGAGATGATCTTCTCCAGACAGCGTTTGGCATAGCTCAGTTTTCTCTTTACAAAGTCTTGCATATGAATCCTGCCTTGACAGATTGTCCATATCCTCCCCTCCACGAGTTTTCATAGTTTACAAGTGCAAGGATCAATAAAGCCCAGTAAAATCTTGGTGTAAGACTGGACAGCAAGAACATTGTGGTTTGTGCTACACAAACACAGTGTTATGATAGTGTGATACAGATGTGATTAATACCATTTCACCAAAATAATGTGTTTGAATAAATGTTGAGATTCTTTCTCCCAAAGATCTTCATTGAAACACAGATCCTCAAAAATTTAGAGAGAAGAGATATTCAAAGGAATGCCATTTTAATGCACTTTTCACAGCAATAATACTTCCTGACAAATTGGTAATCAGGTTCCTGTGAGATGCTTTGCTTTCACAGTTCTCCAGTGGGTTGGTTCTTTAGGTGTTAAAACAGGCCTGGATAAGCTGAAAAGCTTGATAAGGTCAGAATGGTGAATGACTGCTGGAGACATATCTTATTCACAAAACACGTATTTAGTTCTCTGAGTTCTTTTCTATTCATCTTTTCATCTCTGTTTTAGTTTCACATCTTCTATAGAAATGTCAGCACATTATTACTTTTTTTTTATTATTATTATTACTGAGTTTTGCAGAGCCGATCTTTGTTATTTTCCTGATTCTTGCCCTTTTAATAACCTTTAAATACAGGTCCACTTCTTGCTGGCAGAGCAGCTCCTTTGCCGTGAGGTTTGAAAAGGGACTCTTGTAGAAAGAAGAGCGTGTGCTGGGAAGCGTTAAATTTCCCTGTGTGTTATTATCTGAGTCACATCAGCTCAGTGGCACATTAAGCAATGGGCTGTCATGGTCTGTTGTTATGGAACAGTTCCCATGAACCAGCATTGGGTGTATCTTATGTAACAAGCCTATCTTTAGGCTGATGTACAGCATTTCACATCCAGCGCCGGGCAGGGATGGAGCTGATGTTTCCTTTCTGCCTCTGTCTGTGTTTTTTTAATGCGCACAAGTAGCACGTGGAAAGTGGAGGCTGTTGCTTTTTCTGCCTGCTGAAAGGAGATAACCTTTCTTCAAATAGCTGTGGTCTGGAAAGAAGAAAAGATTCTGGATCTGTGATTTAAATGCTGTAGCCTGCTGCCGTGCGAGAGAGAATTTGTCCTGTGGCACAAAAAAGTGCATCTGGGGAGAGGTTGTTTCAGTTTTGGTGACATTTTTAAGACTCGCTTCAGGGCCCAGATCAGATGTTTCTTAGATACCTATTGGCAAATGCCTCGTTTTTGATAGAGTTGTTTAGGCTGGAAAAGATATTTTTAATATTATCGAGTCCAACCATTAACCCAGCACTGCCAAGGTCACCACGACTCCGTGTCCCTAAGAGCCACAGCTATGTTTCATTTAAATCCCTTCAGGGGTGGCACTGCACCACTTCCCTGGGCAGCCTGTTCCAGTGCTTAACAGCCCTTTCCATGGAGAAATTTATCCTATATCCCATCTGAACCTCCTGACAAGACTTGAGGCCATTTCCTCTTGTCCTGCTGTTTGTGACTTGGGAGAAGAGACCAGCCCCCACCTGGCTGTAAACTCCTTCCAGGTGCCTGCAGAGTGAGAAGGTCTCCCCCCAGTCTGCTTCTCTCCAGGCTGAGCTCCTTTCCCTGCTCCCTCAACCCCTTCTGGTGCTCCAGACCCTTCCCCAGCTCCCTTCCCTTCTCTGGACACACTCCAGCCCCTCCATGTCTTTCTTGGAGCAAATGGCCCAAAACTGAACACAGGATTTGAGCGCTGGAGCTGCTCACCTCAGCAGCAGAGAAATATCATGCTCACAGTGTGGCCTTTGAGAAAAATCACTAATTTCTTTGTTTAGAGTGCAGAGGGCACAGGTGTCACAGAGCAGTTGCTGGTAAATGGAGTGTATTATTTCTGTATCAGTGTCACACTGTCAGAAAGTGGCACTTTGTTAAGATAATGTGACCTTTAGAATAATCTTTTAGTCTTCTATTCTTTCTCTGGTACTGTGAATCTCTACTTTTTATTCTTAATGTTTTTTGATGAAGTAGAAATAACACAAAATTCATTTATTCATGTTCTTTCCTTTCAGCTATATTAGATGTCTTTTTCATAAATAGCATAGGTGCCATTTTATCCATGAAAAGCTTCTGTTTGCTGACTGTAAAATGTACATCTGTTCTAAAATGTAAGTTTGGTAAGCATTTACATATTTTATAAAGGAAAGAAACCGATACAAGAATTGGGATCAGCTGCTTTCCAGTGGTTTCTGTGGGGAAAGAAGTGGATAAAAAATGCTCAGTGAGCTTTGTGCTAGGTTGTCTGTTGCAGAATCAAAAAGCCACAGTGGTGGAACAATTATTATTTAAAAGGGAAAATACGAGACTAGGTTAGATAATAACAATTTGAATATTAGCAATGCTACCTGCTAGTGGGGTTTTTTTGCATTAAGTTCTCAATATATTTTTTTTGAGGAGATTCCCCAGCTTCAAGATTTCCCTTCTCAGTCTGATCAGCCTTATTAAGCACTTGTTCAATCAGAGGTTCAGCTTGGTCTCTTTCCCATCTCTCTTGGAGCTGCTCTGTGCAATATGAGTCATGCAACACACTCTGGGTCAAGGAAACAGAATTCTCTGCTTCCACAAATATGTCCCAGTTTTAGAAATGAAGTTTGGTGATTTTTTTTTTGTTTATTTGTTTCACCAAAAGATGTGGGTGAAAGCTTTCTATCCTACAAAGCTGATTTCCAGCAATTGCTGCTCTTTGCTTTCATGTCATGAAGCCTGTGGTCATAGAAAAAGATCCTGCTACTCAGAATAGGAACTGGAGGTCTGCTTGATTATTTTTAAACCTCGCTATTGTGATATGAGTAAAAGTACAGTAGCAAAATACAGCTCAGTAGCTTCATGTGCATATTTTTTTAATTGAAGAAATGTAGATTTTTCCCTGGAGACAAAAACATTTTTAGAATAGAGGCTGCCTGTTCAAAAAAACATAGTCATGTAGCAGTGTTACAGCAATTTGTTTGTTCTAATTGTACAAAAGTCCATAAAAGTATGTGAAAGTATACACTTAAATACCATTCTGAATTATCCTTGAATTTCCATTTAAAATCTCAGCATTGTTGCTGTACTTGGATAACTGAATAAAAATCAGTGCTGATACAACAAATGTAACATCTATTAATATTTCTAAGAAAAAGAAGGAAATCCTTCTTTATTTTGTTTGTGCTTAAAGATTGAGAGTTGGATTCTGCGCTTAACAGCAGAATCAGCCTTGTGTTACTTGGAATGAAAAAATAACTTCTTAATGGCAATATTTAGCAAGAATTCTGAGAGAAAGGAATTCAGTTTCTAAGCCCTGTTCAGTTTTGAAATTGTGGAAAGTTATAAAAAAGTTTTATGGGGATTACTTTTGATACGGTTTTTGAAAATGATACATTTCTATTTCTGGAATCAGAAATCTTGATTTTAAATTTTTTTCCCAAAAGGATGGTTTATCATATAATCCAGCTGGAATAGACCCCAATTTTTCATAACATTTTTGTATGACTATAGCTATTAACAAACTTTTAGATCTTCCAAATTGTCAAAAAAAAAAACCCAAAAAAACCCAAAAAATCCCAGTTTACTGCTGCTAATGTTTCCTACTATGGGTGCATTACAGGACCTTAAAAACTGCTGGAGAAGAAGAAAGCACAAATAAGGAGAGCATCCCCTCATAAACTTTTTAATAGTATTTTAAGCAGATACTAGACAGATTGTAGATGTGTCAGGTTTGTTAAAGCTAATACTTCAGCTCAGGGAACCCATTTGGCACTTGAAGTAAATCTCCCAGATGGAACAATATTATTAAAAATTAATTGTATAACCACTGGACCTGTCTTTAAAGACTTTTGAACTGCTGAGGCTTTCTAATCAGATATTGTTGCTCCAGTTCACCAGTGAAGCGAATCCGATGACTTTTCCGGCGTGTGGCCTACTTCTGTTAATGAAAGTACAATTTATTCACTTCAGTGTACAGGCTGTAAAACTAATCTCCTGCTTGACACATTATTCTC